CCCGGACCGTGTATTTCTTTTTTTCCTTGCTTTTTTTATATCGTTCTTTCTGTTTTGCTAATTCTTTTTGGGTCGGTTGTGGTTGTGATTGTGGTTGCGGCGTGGTGAGGCTGTCACGCGTGTCTGGTCGCTGCCGCTGTTATGTCAAATTTCCAGCTTTTTTGTGGGCCACATCGGGTCTCAAGGGGGACACTTGGAGGTTACTTCACACTGGATGGCACATTTTGCACGACATGACGGGTAAAGGGCAGTTGAAAGGCAAGATCATCTCAGAATGGCTGAGGGCAACTCATGTAGGCCAGGCAGTGGAAGCGTGCAGCCACTCGTCCCTTGCCTCCCCAGCACTTTGGATTTAGTCCTGTTATCAGACCATGTTATCAACTTCCATAGAAAGATTGTTCAAGTTACTGTCCCAAGTGACAGCCTTCGGCAACCTCAAGGCAGGTGAAGACGTCAAAGGGCTCTTGGATATGCCCTGTGTTGAATCTTTCCATTTCTCTATCCCAGTCGTTGCATCAATGACAAGCCAATTCACTACCTTCCGAGTCAATGCGGGAAACCTGGGCAAGAAGTTCGAGGACAACCAGTTCGAGAAGGCAAGTTAGATCTCCACCTCCAGCGGGGCTTGGAAGTGAGGATCCATATCTGATCTAACATTGAAAACTGCGAAGTGGAAGTTTGTGGCCTACAGATTACTTGCACAGGAAGAGAGTCAACTGCATAGGGTCACAGACGAGTGTCTTTATATTGTTCAGTGGCGGAATTCATAGAGACGGCGGAAGTCAACAGTTACATTACAGATGTTCAAGCAGCAGTTCTGGAAAGTAGCTGGTTCGACTTCGAGTGGCATGAGCTACAGACTTCTCTTGAACTGTTCGACGTTACTAGGCAATCCGATTCCATTTTCCTTTCGTTTGGATTTGGACTCCTTCCAGCGGCTCAAGCTTGAGGCAAGAACTAGACCAGTGTCTTCCAACCGTCCACTCAGTCACCCCCCATCCCTTCTTCCTTTCTCTGCCGCTGGCTCCATATCCACCCACTGCCATCTCCGTCAAATCTATAGCAAGCAATCCCGTGGAAAGAACTTTAAAGAGGGTTTGCAAGTCGCAACTCCCAAACAGACCCTTCCCCTTCTCCTGCTCCCGCTCCTTCATCACCACTTGTCGCAGTTGAGCACTCAATTTCTATGCGAGCGACGAGCCTTAAGCCAACCAGTGCTCGCCATGCGCAATATCACTAGTAGAGGTAGGTACCGGGTCTAGCCGACGGGAAGGATGTTGAATCGAGATGGTGGCGGTAGGCGCATATGAGCTCGGGGTGGTAGTAGTCGGACCTAGAAGGAATTTAAGGAAACGAGTTAGATCCGTACCTACCAGGTCATGCGTGACCTCGTCTGCACTTCGGTACCTCTAGGTAGGTAATGGTAGGTTGCCAGCGCCCAGCAATCACGATCGCACAGGTTGGTTACGACGGTAGGGGTAAACGTCTGGACACGGGACGGGGGTAGAGGTATGGGGCTACGGAGGAGGACATGGCTGGAAGCGGAGATGGAAGGCAGAAGGGAAGTGGGACACAGCCAGGTAGGTAGGTAGGTAGGTAGGTAGAGGTACTTACATGTATATAGTGTTGCGCAAATGGTCGAAGCAATAGTTGCCCTTTTTGCCGTGCCACGTAGGTCTGTCGCAGTCGCTCTTGCTGCACTTTGCGCTTGACGGCATTCTCGTTGTCGGATGGGATAGCGGTAAAGTGTTGAGTGGTTGGTTGGTTTGTTGATGGTGTTGAGAGGCTGGGCACTGTGGAAGGATGACTCCGACGAGAGCGCTTTCTTGCGTGTGTGTTTGGGTTATTAAATGGAAGAGGAGAGGAGAGGGGGGTGGGGAGGCGGCAACCAAACAGAAGGCGGTTGAAATATTTGAGCAAAAAGCGCGGAACTGTCCGTGAGTGTGGAACGCGGAGTGAATGGACGGCGCGGGTTACAGGCTGAAGGTCCGTGTACAGGTAAGGTATACCTTATAGGCAAGGTACCTCAGGTTCGAAGTTTGTATTCCATAAGTCACTCGAAGACCGAGAATCAAAACCGACTTGATGGAAACGAAGCACGATCTTATTTTATTTCAGGAACTGGATAGATTGCGGCTCATAGAGCGAGAGATACAACAAAGATCAAGCAAGCGATGGTCAAGGAAAGATGTTCCCTTGGGAAGCGAGTCCAATACCAGGAAAAGAAGCTATAGACTTCCATTCTCTCGAACTATTCTGTATCGATATCTCGGTTCCATTGCTCTATCTCTCTCTCTCTTCTTCTTTCCACCTCATCTTTCCCCACTTCCAGTCCTTCTTTTCCTTTGCCGCACGCCTTGAGCTTTCCATCACGATGCCCCAGGGCTGGCTCCTGTTTTTCACTTGTTCGCCTGGCTCATGTCCATGTCAGAGCGACGAGCGACGAGCCTCGCAGCGACCAGTGTTCGCCATGCGCAAGATTGCTACGGGGCCCTTCGCAAGAGATAACTGCTGTTGATGCGGGCATTCCGACTGGACAAGATCTGGATGCGGCGTCTTATGGGCCTAGAAAGAAGGAAAACAGGTTAGGTAGGTTCGATTGTGCGAGTAGAGGTAGAGGTAGAAACGGAAGTAGTAGTAACTAGTGACTGAAAGAAAGGCGAAAGCAGGGCAGATATGTCTACTTGAGTCGTGCCGTGTCGTGTCATGTTGTGACCTCCCTCGTCTGCGCTTCAGAAGGTAGGTAGAGGTAGGTTGCCAGCATTCACGATCTCGGCTTGATTACGACCGTAGACGGTAGAGGGCGGGACACGGGAGTATGGGACCAGACACTACGGAGGAGGACTGGAAGCGAGAATGCAATGCAGCCAAGTAGGTAGGTAGGTAGGTAGGTACTTACACCGTGTTGCGCAAATAGTCGCAGCAACGGTTGGCCTTCCTGCCGTGCCAGGGCTGTCGCAGTCCCTCTTGCCGCACTTCCTGGTTGACGACAGCTTCCTTGTTTGATGCGGAAGTTGTTGCGCGTTGATGGTTTGCTGTCGAGTGAGTAGGAAGGTGATCCGACAAAAGTGCTTTCTTGTGATTGTATTTTGAATTATTTAGCGGAAGAGGAGAGGAAAATACAGGAAAACTTGCATGGGCGGCCCAAATAAGTACACCCAGGAAGGGAGTGCCAGTGAATGGGACGAACATTGAAATGGAATGGGCGGTAAATGACGGGACGGCTGGCAAACCTGAACAGATGGATGCCCGGTGGCGATGGTAATGCGGGAAGTGAATGAAAAACAACAAGACAAGACGACGATGGCCAGTGCTGGGCTGTCCAAAACCTTCAAGCGGGACGTCAACCGTGATGCACTGGCTCCCATGGGCACTGTTAGCTGTGCTGAAACTTCGGGAACGGAGTCAAGGCGCCCATCTCTTCACGAACGGAAGGCATGACCACGAACCTGCCTGTCTGTCACCCCTTGCCAGCCCTACCACCGTACAGCGGCCGTCTCTCTGCCCGCCAACCAAGTGTCAAGGAGGTACGTACCTTACCCGGTGGTGAATATACCACCTTTCCGTGTCATGCCTATAACAAAAACCAAATTGCGATTGGTCCAGTGGTCAACGCGTTCGCTACTTGAAAGGCTGCGATCACCTTCAATGGGTGAACCTTCGGTGCCGCAAAAACGGCTAACTGAGCATCCGGCTGGTGGCACGGTCAAAGGACAGCGAAAGATCCAGGGTTCGAATCCTAGATCGCACATTTATTTTTTGAGGATTTTTCCTTCTTGCTCGTTTAATTTTTTATTTTTTTGCTTGGCGGTGGGTGGTGGTGGTAAGAGATAGGAAGACGGAGTTTAGTGCTCTGGTCTTTCTTCTTGGTCATCAGGCAGGTGTCGTGAGGCTGATGTGATGGGCTTAAAGCGGGAAACTGTGTCTGATTCCGTTCTATTTTCAAAATTTTGTTATGGGGGTTCTCTTGTGTCGTCGACAAAACGTGATTGTGAGATCTCAATATTTGGTATGTGTGCCTTGTTTTATGTCCATTTGAAGGGTTGACCTCGCGTTATTAACACCGCAGACACTGAGCAATCTTGAACAGCTATTACTTTCAACTAAAAAATTTAGATGACTGCATCGATACTTTAATGGTGATCCGTCGCCCTCTTGATGTCAGTTCAGGAGTGTTCTATTTCCCGATGACCGTCTTTGGTGCTATTTGCGGTACGATGAAGGTCTATAGGCGGTGAGGCACTCTTCCAACCCCGCACGATCAAAGACTCAGAGCGAGACGCCACCACCAAGATATACTTTTTCCACTTTCCACAGTGTCCATACCACAAGCAATGGTCACATCACAATTGTACATCAGACATTTGCTATGCAGAGTCAAAAGGTTCGTTTTGTCTCCGCTAGTGGCAGGCAAGCATGGTTGTTCCACTTTGTTATAGGTTTGATCCTTATTATTGTTGTCGTCATCTTCGCTCAAACCACAAGTATCGAGTTCATAACCACGCAAATGATAAGCAAGAAATGCCTTGAATGCTATGTTCCCTGAAGCTAGTAGACTTGAAATAACAACAGCAGGATGTATCATACATGAAACATCTAATCTGCTACCTAGAAACGACCAACCACAACTCCGCTAAACGCCGATCGAAGGACAATGGTCCTCGTTTGTGCTAATGCTTGCTTCCATGTTCTATCTATACACGTTTCATCCGTCCTATCCGTACTTCCTCACTGTTATACCTCTAGCGATAACCTCTAGCGATACTGCAGAGTGATAATCCTAGCAATAATGGTGCATTCAACCCACCGACTGTTGGTTGCCGGTTGATAGTTGATGGTTGACAACTGTCCTTCTATGTCCCCAAGCATAATCCTCCAATACGGTATTCATCACCTGCTCCAATCATAGGGACTGCCACACTCTCATGACTTGCATCAGACCTGGGTCAGCGTGCCTCGGATCACATCCACAAATGCCAATGTTCCCTCATAAACACTCCCTAAGCGCTTCCTCTCATGGAACTCAACATCATAGCTGCCTCCTGCCTCATTTGTTCCTCAGGCGACCAACCCGGCGGCTGCCCCAGAGCCGTCCCAGTAGATGCAGCACCGGTTGCCACGGCTCCCACAGCCTGCTGTTGCTGACCTGCAAGATACTCAGGAGGTCCCTGCTGGCGAATCTCCTCCAGCCTTTGCTGCTGCCAAGCTTGGAACGGGGTAGAAAACCTCTCTGGAACGCCTCTAGCCGGTAGTCCCGTCGAAAATGGCAATGCCCGTGGTACCGCGGCGCCTTGAACGGCTAGCTGAGCGAGAGCTGCTGCTCCGAGGTCGCCTCCCATGGGCAAGAGTTGGCGGACGCGGCGTGCGGCATCGCTCCAGGGGTCGCCTACTTCTGCTTCGGTTTGGGCTTCTGACGCGGGGGCGGTAACGGGGGTGGCTTCTTGGATGCCTAGGCCCATACCCTGTGCTTGCTCCGGTTCCTGCTCAGGTTCCTGCTCCTGTGGATGTTCCTGTTCCCGGGAGGCCGAGTGTTGCTTCATATTATCCATGCATGGCCGGAAAAACAAGTCGAGGGCGGGGGTACTCCAATACCTATTGGGATAGTCCGCTGGGGGCATGGGTTGCTGGTACTGAGACTGAGACTGTAGTGCTTGTTGCTGTTGATCTCCCCACCTAGGAGGGAAACTTAGCTGCGACGCGAGAGGATCTGAGTAAAAGAAGGGGTTGCGGCCACTGCTCTGCGGCTGGCTGTTTGGTGGAACCTGTTGTTGTTGCTGCTGTCGGCACTGGTCCACCGGCTGCTGTCCTTGTTCCTGACCCGGCGGCTGATTCTCCTGGTCGTTATGTCCCTGCTGCTGATGAACCGAGCCCATCCTACCTCTCGGTCCGTTAAACCCGATCGGCGGGCTACCAACATTGGGACTCAACACATTCTCTGACAACGGTCCGGGTGTATCGAACTTGGGCTCCAGCACTTGCAGCTTAAGCAAGCCATTGGCAGGTCCAGTCTTGGCTCTCTTCCTGGCCCCCTTACTGGTTGTTGAACCTCTACTTGGGACAGTAGTCCGGGCGTTGTTGAGGTTCCTCATGTTCAGCGGCGGCAGCTGGTGTTCGTTGGCGCTCTTGTTTTGCGATGGCTGAGGACTAGAAGCGCGAGTGGAGGCGCGCGACTGCGTACCGGAAGCAAGCTCGTGGTACATGGCGATGAGACGATCAGTCTCCTCGAAGCCGGCATCGAACTTATCGACAACTTCGACGGGGGCGAGATTGGCAAGGGGTTTGGGGGTGAAGATGGCGGTCGTGTGTATCGCCGTATGTGGCGGGATACTGGCGCCGCTGTTGGTTCGGTTACGAGCAGCTTGCGGTTTCGGTTTCGGTAGCGCTCGGTTCTTTGGTATCGTTGCTGGTGGTAAAATTTGTGTTTCTTGTGGTACCGGAGGCTGAGGAAGTTGAGGAGTCTTGGAGTGCGACGGTTGAGGTGCCTTGAAGGGGATGTTGACCGGGATGGCGGTAGCATGAGGGTGATGTGGCGGTGGGAGAGCAACTTCTGTCCCCTTCTCATCGAGCGAGACGCGGGTCTCGACACCCCGGATCATTTTCCATGTGACATTCCGTTTTCGCTTGCGGGTCTTAACTGCTGCGGTGATGGAATCTGCCTCGACGTCTGCCTCGGTTTCGTCGCCTGGAGTATTGCGACCAGTATCACTGGCCATTACCGGTGGCTGGATATTCCGCTTAGGCTGAGGCTGGGGCTTCTTCCTACCTGTCGTTTTTGGCTTATCGTTCTCACGGAGGGACGTTGACTCCAGCGGGTTGGCAGTGAACTTCCTCCTCTTGGCCTTCGGCTTGTCCTTAACAGCCGCTTCAACATGAACCGGAACAGGAACAGCCACAGGCACAGGCGCCAGCCTCTCGGCATCACTATCCAAATTCCTGATGACTTCCAGAGAACCCATAATTCTCCAGACCAGGTGTGCCGCATTGTTCTTATGATCACGTACAGACGCCGGTCGTTTCGCATCGGGGTTGAGTTTGTGTTCCCTCGGGGGTTTCGTTGGTCGTCTGGCAAGTGCCTTCAAAACAGGTAACGGGGGCGGCATCATCTTTGTCTCGGCTGTTTCCACCAAGTGTTGATGGTAACCCATCTCCTCCGGAGTAACTTTGTGCTTCTTCAAGGCGCTTAGGGCCTCGATAGCGAACTGATCCTGAACGGTGCTAGCTGCCTCGACCAGTGCTTTTAGGCCCTTGTTGTCGCTTTCCCTTCTCCTCCTGCTTGATGTTGGTGGCTTGTCGGTCTTTTCAGCCTTCTTTTGCTCTTCAGCCTTCTCCTTCTCGGCCTTGTCCTTTTCGGCAGCCTTCTCGCTGTTGTCGGCGGTCTTCTCAACTGACTTATCGCTCTTCTCGGATTTGTCCTTGTCGACCTTGTCAGCTGTCTTGTCGGCCTTTTCAACCTTCTTCTTGCCAGTCTCCCCACCACCACTACCACTAATCCTGCGCGTCGCCTTACTAGCCTTGGTCTTCTCTTCCTCCGGGAGGACCGTACCAGGCGGTAACCACAGCGCAGGTTTCCTGTTCTGGAGGTCTCCTACCCAGGCGTCGCAATCCCATTGCACCCAGAAATCGAGAACATCCGACCATACACTCTCAGGAGGCTTAGTGAAGTTGACGAACACCACCTTCCCTCCCTTGTCATGCACGGCCTTGGCAAATTCCTTCACCAAGACCTTCAGCCCGTGAACGCGCATGCTGGTGCCAAGAATGAGAAGCATATCCGGTCCGAGAGAAAGGTCGTGCTGCACCAGAGGACTAATCAGGTGAGCATGTGGATGCTCTTCACCGTACAGAACGATATCCGGACGGAGCTTGCCTACTCCTAGAGCTCGTTTACCCCGTTCTTCTCTGGCAGCTGTGGCACCAGCGCAATGAGGGCACTCCGGCTGCCGACCGGCTAAAGTATCCACTTGCCTTTCAGCTTCGTCCCAGGACGCAGTGCGGGCGCATACAAAACACCGAAGCTCGGCTAGGGATCCGTGTAAAAAGACACATTCAACGCCGCGATTCGGAGCATCGGCCTGGGATGCCGGTGGCTGGCTCGCGGGTGGGCCGTCATTCTCCTTTTGTCCTTGGCTGGACGAAGGCTGATCCTCCTCTTGGCTTCCACCTTGATCTGCGGCGTCCTTGGGCCGGGCACCCGCAGGCTTTCGCGTCGAAAAGCGGTAACGGCTACCAGCACCGAGGTCGAGAGAGGTAGCTAGACCGACGCGTTCCTCGAGTTGGTCGATGTTTTGGGTATAGCAACGGACCAATTTTCTGCTGTCACGGAGGACACTGACAAATTGGTGACTGGTTGTTGGCTCGGCGGAGCGGACCTTTTGGCGCAGGGTGGTCGCGAAGGTGTAGAAAACGGAGGTCTTAACAGGACAAGACCAGATCTGGGCGTCGAAGAGATCCTTGCCCTTCATATTTGGTAGGGTGTTTTTAGACGAGAACGACGATTGGGACGTAAGGAGAGGTGTGGATACGGACGAGGGATCTTCGCTGTCGGAGTCGGATGAGACGCTGTCGCGGTAAGGATCGAGTAGAACCGGAGGTGGCGAGGACAACGGAGAGGAGCATAGTCCGCGGTCGTCGCGCAGGTGAGAAAAGTCGAGGGTTCGGAAATTGGGAGGTCTTTCTGAGGACTGTCCATCGTTGCCGGCGACCTTGGACGGGGGAGTGGTAATTTGGGTAGAATTGTCCCTGCCGTCGTCTACTGTGCTGGTATCTGAGTCTTTCTCCGTGTCCTCGGGTGTGGTAGTTGCGACATTGATGTTGTCGCTCACGTCCTTCCCGTTGGTCTCTTGAGGGTCGAATCTAAGTCGCTTCGCCGGTCGGTCGGACGTCTCGGGTTCTTGGGAAGCATGTGTGTTCTGCTTGGCCTCGGCGGCGGCATCGAACTGGGCTTGGATCAAGGAGTAAAGACCATTCTCTGATCGAAAGTCCTGTAGTGTATTAGCGGGAGAGGCAGGGCGCGTTGTTTAGGGTAGCCGTTGACTTGTTACTCACGGGAATGCCCGAGTTGGTGCTGATTCCAGCGCCTGTGATGACCACGACCTTCCTGGCCTTGTAGAGGGCATTGGCGATGTCCTGAAGCAGTGCTTCCGAGGTGGGTTCGACGTGGGTTGTAGGCATGGTCAGTCGTAAGAAGGGTCGTAGTTCTGCTTTAGAGTAACAGCCACCGACGAGCAGACAGACGCCAGGACGACAAGACAAGCGACAACGGGCACGGTCGTCCAGCGTGTGCGCGTGTGATGGCAAAGGGATCCGAAGATTATAGCGTCATTGCTCGGTAGGCCGCTGTGGTTGGTGATGTAGGGTGACTCGTCAATGGCTCGCTCGTTTTTGGTGGTGATGTTGACTCTGCTCTTCTCTTTCGTCTTTTTCTCTCTAGGGCGCGCAGTGGGCAATGGCAGCGGGCACAGCAGACAAGTAACGCGTTCGGAATATCGATGTTGACGCTGGTCTATGTGGCAAAGGACGCGCTCGTAAAGGTAAACTCGACTAGGGATGGTGATGGCGGGAGAACCCTCGTGTGGTTGGGGCTCACATTGACTGTGGTTGTTGTTTGTATGGGACCGAGTCTCTTGACAGACAGACAGTGACAATGGCCGTTGTAAGGTAGAATCTTTTGTTGACTCTGTGTGGTCAAAGTGGATTCCGTCTCGCCTTGCGTGGACGAAGTGTGGATCGCGACCGTTAGTGGACATGAGGTAACAGTGTGCTGCTGGTCCCTGAAGCCGCTGTAACATCCTTCCTACAGCGCCCTGAATCGGTCGTGGCTGCATTATTCTGACCGCGGGGGAGTCCTGGCTCCACTTAACATGGTTCAATTCTTTAGTGGCCCAGCCGCCAGAACAACCAGACGGGAATCACCAAAATCCGCCAATTGTTACGCCTGGGCATCACATCCGGGCCGTGCACCCTTTAACTGCCAGGGAACTGGAGGCTTGGGCCACCCACCGGCTTGGCGCCCTGCCTGCCGGCGTGACGGGCCCGGAAGTGACGGCCGGGCTACAAGAACTCTGGCGACGGAGTGTTTCTCTTGCCAGTTTTCTCTTTAACAATCCAAAATCCCCATGTAATCTTGATCTGACGAGCCTCCAGTACCTTGTCAACCAAAGAACAACATCATCAAATAAAGACGCCGGACGGATATGTCGATCGTCGATTGTTGCCATGCGCATTGCATATTCGAACCTCACGTATACCTTAGGTATCTAAGGTATGCCTTATGGACGAGGCTGAGGATCGGTAAAGCGTTGCGAGCCATGTTCATCTCAAGCGCTTTGCGTTCGCGAAAATTGACCGCACAATCACCACTAACCAAACCGCCATAAATGGATCTCACGATGCTAATGATTTATTTTTTGTTGATTTACAAGGGGGCGTTGCTACAGCAACTGTCATTAAAATCACGACAATTTTGATAGCTCCGAACCGTGTCTTGGCGAACTTTGCCTTGCTTACCTATCTAGGGTACACTACTTACATACGCAGTGGGCAGCGGCTCCGTCCGTGTAGTAGGTGTCCCCGGTACTCCGACACAGTACCACATTTTCGGCTCGAGCGACTTCTCCTCCTCCTCCGCACTACTTCCATCAACACGGCGGCGGCAGTCAACAGAGGGATTCCACCGCGCAAAATCATCCGACGAGAAGCGTCCGAATATCAGCACAAGCTCCCGGCAAGTGAGGCCCCCTCCCGCCGGGGCCATGTACCACGCCGTGCAGTTCCTCGCGGCCGTGTCGGACGGGATAGGCGACAGCTGGGTTGTTACGGTAGGGAGCGGCGGCAGGTCGCTCAGCTCGGGCCCCTGGTCGTAGTCGTAGGCGCCCACACAGTAGTAGCGGTTCTTGAGCAAGGCACAAGCGTCAGACTCAGCCCCAGCCCCAGCCCCAGCCACTAGGACGGGGTTTCGGGAGAGGAACTAAGTCGAGGAGATCTCGGGGTGCTCGTCTAGCGCATCTTGGCAGGTGTCTCCTGCCCGGGCTTGGTAGTAGGTTACGCAGTTGGTCGGCAACGGGCCGGCGGTTGCGGTTGGGGGTGTGAAGATGGGGTCGAGGGTCGAGGGTCGGGAAAGGCTCGGAAGATGTCCACGAAACGAGAGGCGGGAGGACGATTTCGGTTGGGCTGGCGAGAGGGACTATGTTGACGGTTCCGGTCGTTTGCGGCTGGATGCCCACGCACACCCAGTGGTTGAAGTAGAGGCCGGAGCAGTCAGTGCCCAGAGCCGGGTTTCACGCGAACAAGTCGGGTAGGGATATGAAGGAGCTGCAGAGGAAGTGGATGCTTGTGCAGTCGTCGCGGTCCCAAACCAAGTGCCAGGAGGTGCAGTACTCTGGTTGGTCGATTTGGGTTTGGGTGGATGGCCAGGTGGAGTTCTCGCCGATGGTTAGGGTGGTGATGATTCAGCTTGTCACGGGGTGGTTGATTGAGTAGGTGCTGTTGAAGAAGGTGGTGGAGAAGGAGGAGAAGGACGAGGTGGAAGAGAAGGAGGCGGAACTACGGATGGTTGATGAAGAACCGATAGGTGGTCCTACACCGACGCAGTAGGCATAACCTAGCCAAAAGTTGACTGCAGTCGCTTGAGACGGCGGGATTGTACAGGAGGAACTGGGCTAGCGTGATGCCGTGCAGGCTGGCGAGGGTAATACAGTCCTGGCTTGCTTGCACCAGGTGCCAGGCGTTGCAGTTTGGAAGTGTGCCCGAGAACGTTGGCCCGGGGGGAGCGGTAGCTGTTGCGGTACGTGATGTGGTTGTCACCACCGTTTTGGTAGGCATAGTTGATGTTATTGTTGTTGTTGTTGTTGTTGTTGTCAGAGAGGTTGCAGTCCATGCTATCTGAGGGTCTTGTCAGTGGAAGTTTGTTTCTTATCGTTCTTGTTCAGAGAGGTTGCAGTCCATGCTATCTGAGGGTCTTGTCAGTGGATGTTTAGGAACAATGCCACGCGAGCCTAGATGGTTGTTGTGGAGGTAGTCGGAGCAGCACTCACGGCAACTCCAACGCAGTAGGCGTAAGAAGCCCAAAAGCTTTGTACGCAGTCCGCGGACACGGCGGGATTCCATGTTAGGAACTGGGCGTGAGTAATCCGATACTCGCTCTCAACGTCGGCGCAGGTGCTGCCGGCTTGCACAAAGGTGCCACTTGTTGCGATTAGCGACGACACCGGGATGTGTTGGGCCTGGTGCTGTCGTCGTGCCTTGGGCTGCTACAAGGCTGCTACCGGTACCAGGAATAACGAGAAAAAGAACAAGTAGTAAGTACCGGTTACTCGAAATCTTCATAGTTAAAGAATAGTCCACCGGGACTTGACAATCACGACTGAGAGACGCTAACAATGACTAGTTATATCGAGGGACTAGGTAAGGAGAAAGACCAACGCAAGTAGGTAAGTAATACGAATTATATACCTCTCTATCGGTTCATAACGTTGAATGTCTCTGCTGGCGGCCTTCCCCTCAGTTTCGCTGCCGTCGGAAGGAATGTCAATGACCGGGCATGTACGATTAGTGGGGAAATAACATGAATGGCATGGGGATATAGAGGTAACATTCGGATGTCTACTCATTCGTTCTCTTACTATCTACGTACCTACGTCTAGGTACCTACTCGCTCTCCCATCTCAGAGGTCATGGCCCCTTTTTTCAACGCTGGTTCCTAAGGTACCTAACCGGCGGGTGGCCACAAGTACCACGCACTGTCGGCATTATTATCTACTCTTATCTCTAAACCATTGAGTTGGTTTCTCACGCTCATGTCGCTGAGTAAGAGCCCGAGGTCAAGCGTACCTGATTCCAATGGCTTGGCATTTCTTACAAGCAGCTTCTAGATTTGGTAGTTGTGCGGCAGCTAATATCACCCACCTCTTGTTCCATTCTCTGAAATTGCACACAGGCTAAGCAGTAACCAGGGCCGGATGTATACCACTTCAAAAGGCAGTATTGGTTTTGGCTGCAATATATACCTGTCGTACGCACCTACCTAGTTAGGTGGAGGCAAGTTTATTACAAATTCTCAGCAGACCAAATGGTCTTCATGACGGATCATGACTCGGGTGACATACCTAGGTAGCTGTCAGGTGAAAATGTGATGCTCAGCTGTGAATCTCGGCAATATCCCTTCAATCCTCTATGTTTCAATCTGACCCGTCCACATCACCCGATCGTTAACAGGATTTGGTGACTCTTTTCAGAGCAGTGTCTTTTCCGCCGTCGCTCACGAACCGGTTTCTCTCCACCAGTACACTTGTTTCTCTCATACTTCTCAACTATCAACTCCAGCCACGCAATATGCGTCCTTTCCACTTTCTGTCTCTCCTAGTTTCATGTTTCTTCAGCGCCGGTGTCCTTGCCGGAAGTTTAGTGTGGGAAAGCCAGTCAGTGGCCATCCAGCCCGCACCCCGTGGAACGCATCGAGGTGGACGCTGCTGGCTTCGCCATCCAAGATCACCCAGTAAACCGAGCTATCACCAAGCGCTATGTAGCCATCAAGCCACCGTTTCACACCAACAGGGCCTAGCCATGGCCGGACAAGAAATTACGCTACTGCTTCCAGGGGGATCAAACCGCAAACGCGCTAAGGACTCACTTTGATCACGCTATTGAGCTCTGGCGAATCGCGGGCCTCCCGGCGGACTTTATATTTGAAGAGATGGCGACTCTCTCTCACTGTAGCGAAACACCTGGCCGAGAGAACTACACTCAAATTCACAACAGTGGGCCTACGGGAGGCCTCTCGTCAACGGTTGGGACCAGGACAAAGGACCCTAGAATGATGCTCAGCCCGCGGAATGACATAGGCAGGTTCGATCCTGCCACCAACATTGCACACGAGATCGGTCATGCCTGGGGTCTCAAACACGAGCACCAGAACCCCTACTTCTGATCCAAGGAGACCTTTGAGGGATATGCGCCGGAAGGAAGCTCGGCCGTGTTTGGCCAGTTTGACTGCGAGGCGCTCAGCGACTATGACGGAGCCAAGAGGCACGTCGAACACAGGGATACGGTCGTCTTTCTCAACTACCTGTATAAGGATGAGCGGCCAATACAAGAGAAGCGAGCCCAAGCACTCGTGGACATGTGCAGACTGCAGAGCTTCACCCAAAGTTTCAATTTCAAGGGCGCCATTGCGTTTCTTCCATTTGTCGGCATGGACGCCGACATGGATTACGGGGCCACGACGGGGGCCAGAGATGATTTCGACTGGGACTCCGTCATGCTATACTCGTCCGGCGGCGGCGGCATTGATGTGAGGGTTCCCTCGGGGCCCCCTCCCCAGGGTGTCGGTCTGGCTGAGAACCCCAACGATCACCGCCGCAATGTTCTACTCACGTCCGACGGTAACAGATTCGGTTATAGCCAGTTGCTGTCCACCAAGGACGTCGAGGGCATTATGAAGCTCTATCGCACCCCGTCGCCGAGCATCCAGTCTGTCGAGCTGCCCAATAACGAGCGCTTCGTCTTCTTCACGCGCTTCATCGAAACGGTCAAGCGTACCATGGGATGTGGTTTGGGAGGAGGGACAGAGGATTGAGTGGTTGAAAAGGGTCTCTGGGAGGCTCGACATACGTGTCTATGCTGCTACTAGTCAAAAGGAAACCACTGTTTTAGCCCATGGAACCGATAGCAAGACAATTGTACCTACCGTATCTTGTAGGTACCTAGGGGTGCCTCCGGTCTAGAGGTCTGGTGGTCATTTCGATAGGGTAGAGTTTAAATGCAAGTAGTCTTTGCTTATTTACCTCGCATACGCATCGGAAGGTGCAGGAAAATGAGGTAGAAAGCCTCTCATGTCGAGTCTTGTGCGGAATGAGAGTGGTTGACGGAAAGATTGACGAGTGTCTTGAGATTTGACTTTGCACATTGGAACTGAGGGATCAACGATTTCGGATGATGTAAGATGCAATACGCAAGTGCAATGAGCAGGTGGCCAGCTGAGACCAGAGCAGTTTCTTCCAAACTTGAACTTGGAACTTGGTCGGCCATTTCCATTCTTTCCTTGACAGCGCATTCCCTTTACTCCTTCACACCGGCAACATCTTCAGTTGATGCCGCTTGAGCTTCCACTAACCAACATTGTAATAGCCTATCCTCAACCTGGAATTGACACCCCAGGCATCTGTGAAGAGCTTCCACGCATTTCTGCATCTCCCGTCTTTACGTACGTCGCATCATGGTTCATTCCAGCCCAGCCATCTGCATTATGTAACGGCGGTTCCTGGACGGCAATTCGGTTCAAATCCAGTAGCCTTGGTCTTAAGCAGAAACACAATCGAGGTGTCAAAGCGAGAAAAGGCCATGTGTGCTCAGAGCTGATACTTCTATCTACCTATACAGGTCCCAGAATCCCCTTTCTCTCGACCCAACACTTGCGTAGGTACTCCGACATCGTGACCACTCGAACCCAACAAGATCTCCGAACTACCCCGACTCAAGAACCAATCCTAGTGAAGGAGCCTGACATCAGTGCCGTTACTTAGATAAGCGGACACCATCGGTTCTCAAGATCTTCCCCGGCGCCGCGTACGTCAAAAGGGATTCCGCTTACCTGCACATGCCCCAGTGGCAGCTCATCGACCAACACACAGGACACACCTAGCCATTCCCAGCACACCCCAAGACTGCGCGTAGCTCGTCCTCGCGCGAGCCTCTCCACCGGTGCGTCACGCCGCCGGCACTCCTCTGCGTTTT